CAGGTTTTCATGACAGCAACTCACTCCCATGCCTCACCTTTTGCTCCAGTGGAAAACCTCATCTGCCCAGTCTTCTTTGGCTCTGTTTCTGGTGGACACAGTAGTCATCATCATGACCATCACCACGGGGCCTCCCATGAGGTTTCCCACTCTTCGCCTCCTCCTGCAAAGTCAAAAGAGGAGCTAAATGAAGGCACAAGGAAACGGAAAGCAAAAAAAGCTGAATAAAAAAGCAACCACAGAGTAAATAGGCCAAGACAATTCTCCCAGAGCTGAGTCTCAAAGCCACCTGTGACCTCCGTTATCCTCCAGTCCTCTGCCAGACTCCAGAGGAGAGGTGGGAGCCAGGACACTGCCAAGCGGTCCCTGAATTTCACTTGTGCTCTCTGTGCTGCTGCTTGCTGCTGGGTCTGTCTCTCTATTCTGATCATATTTTCAGGGATTTGTAGTTTTGTGCCAGGATGATAAGTGGGTGCCAGTTCCCAAGCTGTCAGCAGTTACAGTGCAGCATTTTCAACTGAAGTAAAACCTTTCACTGTGTTTATTTGTGAATGGAGGGGATGGTTCGTGCTCTTGCAGCTCAGAAGTTCCTTTGAGTTTTCATTGACCTTTTTGTTGTCTACCAAAACAACAAATTGGTATGACAAAAATCAATGTGGAAATTGGATTTCATACTCAAGGAAATGAAATGGTCTCATATGAGCTTGATCTAATTTTTCCTAGCTGGCCATAGCTCCAGTTAATGTGACATTTTATATGCAATAAGGACATCGACTCTGGTGTCCTGGCCAAACTCTGTTTCTCTCACCTAAGCTCCCTCTGATTCTTAATGGCTAGGAAGAATGTTGTCACTTTCTTAACTAAGCCTGTGTTTGCAAGAGGTTTGAAGCTGTGAAACACTCCGAGTGCTGTTTTGGTCCTCTTGTTGTTCTGAACTGTTGTGTGGCATTGCTGCACGTTGTTGATAAGTGTGTCCCACCTCCAGCCTGATCCTATTTAACTAGGGAGGAAGCATGGTTCTGCTTTGTTTGTGCACCTGTGGGGTACAAGAGGGGCGTGTGAGTGTAAATAAGTATTTATTACTATTTATTTATAATTGCCAGGGCACCTAATTCATGGACCTGAGAGTGGCTTTTTAGAAATGTTGCCTAGAGAATGGGATGCTTCTGAGCGTGGTCCCGTGCCCGCGGCTGCATGCTGGTTTGTGCTTGAAGCAGTGATTGTGGTGTGCTGAAGGACAGCCTGAAAGCTCTCACCAGAGGCAGGAAGGAATGCTTCCTATAGTCTTAAGATATAAAGGCTGCAGAAGTGGATTTGACACTATCTGATTTAAACTTCTGTAAGGGACTGGTGAAAGCCCACCAGCTGAAGAGAGGGATCAGCCCTGCTGGTCTGAAAGCAGCTTGTGCCCAGTGTGTGAGGACAAGCACAGACCCACCTTGCCTGGCTCAGGGAGCCTGTCAGTTCCTTCATGTTCTGCTTAGTGAATACCAGCTTTTAGACTAGTTTTAAGCTGTTCTTATAACTGATTTTATTCTTCAGAGTGTCATCATCCAAGGATGGGGCCAGTGTGGTGACAGTGGTGACAGGGGTGGGTAGCACTGGGCTTTCAGTTCCTCAGCATATCCCAGCCAGGTTTGCTGCTCTCATCTTGCAACTGGGAGTAGAAACAGGAGGATTTAATCAAAGGGTTGGGGTTTATTTTTTGTGTGTCTCTCTGTTCAAAGTTAAAATTGTTGGTTAATTAAAAATAAAATAAAAAAAATACTGTGTACAACCAGATGAAAGCCAGTACAAAAGGTCAAATGATTTGTGGGCTTGGGTTTTGACAGTGCCTTAATTTTGTGAGTTTCCCTCCCCTTCAGCAGAAAACAGGAATTCTGCCTGATGGCTCAACTGTCTGGTTTTCCAGATCCTGGTCTGCTGAAACCTGGCGTATCACTAGCACGCACAAAACTATAGATGTTTTATGAGATGTCTGATTCAAGGGGAATTTTGTTTTATAAAAGCTGTGGACAAATAAAAATTGTGAAGTGTCTCTGCCTGCCTGCTGGCACTTGAGGAAACGTGTGGGTTTCTCACTCTCAGCAGCCCCTGGAGCCTCACCCTCCTTCATCTACTTCAAGTCTCCTTGGCCCGTTGACAAAATGATTCTAATCAAAGAGAGAGATCAAACTTTGATACATCCTACAACTAAGCCTGAGCATGTTATTAATGGAAATAACATGGTAAAAGGTCCGTTGCTTTTGTTGTATTTGTGGCATCACTGTCCAAGTACTTTGAGATTTCAGGGAGGGAAATAGGGAAACAACTTCCTTTGGTGTTTATACCTGTTGACTCTTTCCTTTTGTCAGTATGAGAAAGGACATTCACCTGGGACAGGTAAACACACACAATTCTAGTATATTTTTAAGGAGTTTCAGTCTTTCTATTGAAAACTGAAAAAGATAAAAATGCTTTGAATGAGTGTATTTAGCATGGTTCTCTTAGCTGCTGCTTTTTAAGTGCCAGAGCCCTCGATCTTCAGTGTTTTAGAAGCAAACCACAGCTGCTAACCAGGAACAGATAGAAATAGTCCAAGAGATATTAAAATGAAAGCTCTGTACATCTTCAAAGTACCTTGTCTGCAATGGGATTGGTATTGAGAAAACAATTGCAATAAGTCATAAGTTTCAGTTAGTGAAACCTTTCAGAGTGAGAGATGTGGGACTGTTCTGAATCTCCGATTGGTATTGAGAAAACAATTGCAGTAAGTCATAAGTTTCATTTAGTGAAACCTTTCAGAGAGATGTGGGACTGTTCTGAATCTCCATGGCTCAGTGCTGCTAGTCTTTGGGACAATTCCAGGCAGGCGTCCTTCATTCCAAAAGAAGCAAAACTGGAGCTTTGAAAAAGCAGCAGGGCCATGGGGTTCTCCAGGGCTGCTCCCACACCCCCAGGCAGCCCTGCTTCACCTGGACATCCACTTCTGCCTCCAGACTCTGCTCCAACCAAACCAAAGTGCCAGCTGGGTGTCTCCTGGAGGGAGGGAGGGAGGAACTTGCTTCCATGGCACGGGGGTGGAAGTGGAGATGGCAGTGATGAGGAAAACACGATGCAGTTATCTACCTGGCTCACCAAATGAGGACCTGCAAAGGGCTATTTATTTTCTGCAGGATTTTACTTGTCTCCTGACAGATCTAACTCCCTTAAAATGTTTATTAATACTCCTGGATTTAGCAGAGCAGTTGAGAATATAAGTAGCACTGGAGTGTGGGATATAAAGTGTATGGCCCAACCAGTGGAAAAGAAGGTCAGAACTTACACGTATTAAAAAAGAACCCCAGAAAAAAAGCACTAGAATGTTTCATGTGGTTTAACCATTCTCCTCCCCCGTGACATCCATTTGAGCATTATGAACAAGTTTTGCTGAGGACCTGGGTGGAACAACAAGCAAGGAGGCTGATGAGAGTAGGTGTTCCAAGTGCTCTGAAAAATCCCTTGACGCCTGCAGAGCCCCAGGCTGGGCTGGCTGTGCAGTGTCCCCAGCCCCAAACCCTGTGCAGCACAGGGCAGGAGAGAATCACACCAGGGCTTAGACTTCCACAGGACAGACGTCATTCCCTCCAAAGATGTTCTGATCTGATAACTCCTGGTACTAACTGTAGTGAGATGTAGCTAAATTTAGCAATAGGTTTAATCCTCCAAGAGGCCCTGGTTGCCTGATGGAAAAAGTGAAGGGTTTCACTTGCTGCTCTCAGCATTTCTGCTTGATTGACAGGTGTCCCTTTTCAGTGACACAGGGTGAGCCAAACCCAGGCTCTGCAGCTTTGTGTCCTTGCAGATCAGCCTCACAGACAGGGAAAGCTCTGCAGCCCCTGTCTGCAGGAAAAAACCAAACTCGTGGGATAGTTTTACAGGAAACATCAAGAATTCTTCACAGTAAATGAACTGAATTAAAAAAAATGGGAGGCCAAAGGAAAGAATTTCAATACTGAAGAGCTGCTGTGAGAAAAGGCAAAGCCAAGACAATAGAGCCCTAAGCTGGAGCAACCAGGGCTCCTTTCCCCCTTTTCTTCTCGTTAATTGCAGTAGGAACATTCTCCCACATTTTGTCCAAAGAGTAAACAAATTATCTAACCCAGCTAAGCAGAAAGACCTAGAAGATAGAGGTGGATGTTACCTTGGCCATCTCCTGAGCCCTGGAGAAGTTGTTCCTTTTAACCCTAGCCAGGTGATCAGCTGCCAAGCACCCACTGCTTCCTCCTGCAGCCTGAGTCCTGCCTCTGGGGTGCCTTAAAGGTGTAAAGCACCAGATCAGAGCATCAGTCCAAAGAGCACACAGGACACACAGCAGCATTAAAAGTGACAGCTGCATGCACTTCACAGCAGCACATCTTTATTTGGGCCCTTAGCTCTAACTGTTCACTCTGCAGTTCCTGAGGTTTAAAGGACCTAGCTGGTGCTGTGACACACAATGACAGAGGACGATATGGAGCAAGGCTGGTGCAGCCTGGCATTTCCATACCTCAGACACCCACCTTCCTGCTGCAGCAAACATTTTTCTCCCCAGATATTGTAGTTCTTTGCCAAAATAATGAGAAATCGGAATATAAGTCTATAAAAGATTTTCTAGAAAGCTCACAAAGATAGTTTGCATGTAGTACAAGTTTCTTCCATCTCTGCTGGGAACACAGGACACCAACAAGGCAAGCTCCTGGCAGTGGAGAAAACACTGTTGATACCAAAGCTGAAAGTCACTGTACACAGAGGGTTGATATCTGCCTCTCCAGGATGCTCTTACTGTTGGCTCCGGGGAGATTTGGTTTGTCCTGTGCCCACCTACTGTAAGGAAAGGCCAGTTAAAGGGGTTTGGATTTCATCAGACACCAACAGTGCAGTTCTCACTTGGTAAACCCCCACAAAATTACCTCCCAGCTAAGAATTTAATCCTGCTCTCGTGCAGCCTGTAAAGGCAGCAGCCTGTGAGCAAGCTGGTGGGGCACGATGGCTCATGGAGCAGACAGAGGGTGAGAAAACACGTCTCTGATCGTGCCAGAGCCCACACTGCCACTGAGACTCACAGCTGCTACTCTCCTCACCTCTGGGATGACATTTCTGACAAAAAGATGTTGATAGTGAATATCTCTGAGCCTTGTCTCTTTTACACTTCTGCATTTGCATCTTTCACACATTACCCTCAGAAAAAGTACCATTTATAGTATTTTCTACCATGATCCTTATCTGTTTCCTTTATGTTCCAGAAGAGAATTTGGGGAGGGAATTTTTTAGAGAGATTGCAAATGTAACGTTTTATGAAGAATCAGTGTGAGAGAGATATTTCATCTTAGCTTTAGGGTACAGGTAAGCTATAGCCATGGAATGCAGGAAAACAGGTCAGATATGTTTAGAGGCTTGAAGATTTTTATAGCCTAAGGAAATCCAGAATGTCCCTGGAAAAGATTTGGTTGGTTGATT